TTTTTTTTTTTTTTTTTTTTGAATATCTGGTTATTAACAATTATTGACTGTCAACTATATGCTTTTATTTTATATTTAATAAGTCAGCATTTCTGTTTCTCTTTGGAATGATTAATAACATTTTAAAATGGTTAAGATACTAAAAACGTAAGTGCGCTTTTATTGTAACATAATATATTACGAGTACATTATAAAAATCTCTTTTAATAAATTTTAAATCTCTGTGTTATATTCAGTTATATTTTGTAACGATACTTATATTTTGTAATTTATATTATTAGAACATTTGCGGTAATACTTCAACTTATATTAATATTAACGAAAATGGAAAAAGTAGTAAAAAAAAATATTTTCATTTAAATTATTTAAATTTATGTACATAATATTGAGAAACATTTAGAATACTAATGTCCCGCGATGAATATTTTCAACAGTGTTCAAACATAGTTTTAACGTTGTAATTTCAAGTTGAGCGGGTTTTTAATCGCCGAATGCGACTACGCTTTCTTGTAAAAGACGAATTGCAGCCTGAAAAGGTTAACCGATTACGTTTTATCTGACATTTCATATTAATAACCAGCGTTGCACATTTGCTCGCGGCTGAATGCTTATCATTGATAAACGGATCCTCGAGCTATTTAAAAGTGCAGTTCATTTAATGCACGAGCAACGCGAAAGGAAATCTCTTTCATTTATTTCTATGATTTTGTTAATTGCCTGTGCATCGTTTTCACGTTCTCATTTAGGATAAATTAAACTTTTTCTTACTCGTTTATCTGTGTTTTAAGACTCGAAAGAACGTAATCTATTTGTCAGTTTTTAAATCTTCGGTGAACTTCTTTTAAAGAGTTTATCAAATGAAACGATGTGCAATTATGAATTAAGTTTCTAGCTTACAGTTTAACGAGGCTTTGCTAAATATTACAAGAACGGCGAAGTAATTCAAATATATTGTATAAATTGAACGTCAAAGTAATTCCTTGAAAGTTATATATTGCGATTGTAATGAATTTCTTGAATTTCTAAACGCCTTGGAAAATAATTAAAAACTAGAAACCCAATCAATTAATTTGAATTACTTTCATTAAGTAGTAATTCATACATTAGTAATCAAAGAATTAGTAA